GGTCCTGCATGTGAATCATTCATGAGAAAGAACTGTTATACTAAAACTGAGGGAGCAGATTACATCTCTTGGGATGCTCCTGCCTCTATCTATAAATCATTCAGTTCACTGCAGAAAACCACAAATGTTATGGAAGCCTTATTTACATTCAGGAGATATCTGATCAAATTCAACTACACCTGGTATCAGTTATGTCCATATTTAAATATCTAAGTTTGAAGGAATGTGTTTTTTCAAAGCTGAACAATATACAGCTTGACAGAATTTAAGAGGAAACATATTGCTGAAATGACCAGCAATGTCCCTCTCTGTCCTCCCTGCATAATCCTGTTCCACACACTCTCTCTCTACACAATGTTGATTGCATTATGAGTGATTGTAGAAAAAGCCAGCACACAACAGACTTGGAAATTAAACAGGAAACATGAATTACACAACTAAGGAACAGCTCAATAGGAGAAGACCTAAAGTTAAACTTTTACAGTGGCTTTCCGGACCTCAGGACATCGAAAAATTCTTTACTGCCAGTTAAGTACCTTTTTGGAAGTGTACACAAGTATTGTAATATAGGAAAGAGAGTTCAGAAATCTCCCACCGATAGCAAAGGAATGAAGATCCAATCATCTGTTTTCATGATTTAGATTGATGGATTGGTGATACTTGTGAAGGTGGTTGGAGTTTCCTGCTTTACTCCCACAACCCTCAACACCCCTTACCGATTAAAATACTGTCTATTTTAGCCTTGATCAATCTCAGTGGTAGAAGATTTGACAGATTTACAATCCCCAGAGGGAAAAACAAATCATCTGTTTCAAATGGACAACCCTTTAAAGGTATTATGCCCTCTTGCTCCAGACCCTCCCACAAAGAGAAACATCTTCTCTGCATCTACCTCAAGCCCCTTAGGAATCTCTCACGTTTTGATAAGGTTACTTCTCATACATCTAAACTCCAATTAGTACAGGCTGAACCTCCTCAGCCCTTCAGCATGGGAGAGTCCCTCCATACAGAGAATCAACTTACTGACCTTTATCTGGACTGTTGCCAATGACAATATATCTTTCCATAGGTGAGCGGTCCAAAGTTATTTACAGCATTTCAGGTGTGGTCTGACTTGTACCTTGTAGCAAGGTCTCTCTATTTTTGTACTCCATTCCCTTTGAAATATAGGCCAACATTCCATTTGTCTTCCCTATTATCCATTGGACTTGGATACAAGGTTTTTGTGAACCCTGTACAAGGACCCCCAAATCTGTCTATGCTAAAGCTTTCTGCAAAATTTCCCTATTTAAAATATTCAGCTTCTCTATTTCTACTGTACAACATTATGTTTTCCCGTACTATATTCTACCAAGTTTTTGCCATTCGCTTATCCTATATTCCTGTGAAGACTCTTTTTGTCATCCTCACTTCCTTGCCTTGCCACCTAATTTTGTGTGATAGTGCATTCAGTTGTCATCCAAGTCATGAATTGTTAATAACTGTGTCCTCAGCATTGATCTCTGTAGCACTCTACTAGAATCATAGAGTTCCTAGAGCGTGGAAGCAGGCCATTCAGCCCACTGAGTCCACAGTGACGCTCCAAACAGCATCCCAACCAGACCCACCACCTTACCCTATTCCTATAACCCTGCATTTCCCATGGTTCATCCACCTAGCCTGCACACATCATCCCTTGACACTATGGGCAATTTAGCATGACCAATCCACCTAACCTGCACATCTCTGGACTATGGGAGGAAACTGGAACATCTGGAGAAAACCCACAGACACAGGAAAAATATGCTAACTCCACACAGACAGTCACCCAAGGCTGGAGTAGAATCCAGGTCCCTGGTACTGAGGCAGCAGTGGTAACCACTGAAACTATGTGCCTATTAGTTACGGGTTGCCATCCTGAAAATGGTTATTTTACCCCAACTCTGTGTTTTCTATTAGTTACCCAATCCTCTAACCATGCTACTTAATGTACTACTCCAACACCATGGGCTCTTATCTTATTAAGTTGCCTTATCAAATGCCTTTTGGAAATCTTAATTTATTCCATCTACTGGTTCACCTTTATCTATCTTGCTTGCTACCTCCTCAAAGAACTGTAGTAAATTTGTCAGGCATGATTTCCCTTTCAAGAGGCCATAATGACTGCTTGACCAAATTATATATTTCTAAATGCTTTCTATAACATACTTTATACTAGATTTTAACATCTTTCTGAAACAGATGTTAGGCTAACTGGCCCATTGTTACTTCATTTTATCTCACTTTTTTAATAAGGATTCTACTTTGGCAGATTTTCAGTCCTCTGGGATTTGCAGAAGATTACTACCAGTACATCTAACTCTGTAGCTACTTCTTTGAGTAACGTGGAATGCAACCCCTCAGGTATTTGTCTTTAGCTCCATTAGTCTTGCACATGTCTCTTGTGATAAGTATTGCATTTTTCTCTCCCCATCTTTTGACTACTTGTTTAGTATTTTGGGAATCCTATTAACGGCCTCTACTATGAAGGTTGATGCAAAGTATTTATTCAGCTTTTCTGCCATTTCGTGCTTCTCCATGATTATTTCCCAAGGCTCACTCTCTGAGAAGCCTATGACCTCTTTATTAATTTTTATATTTTTACAGAAACTCTTACTCTCAGTTCTTAAATGACTTGCTGGTTTACCCTAATTGTTTATCTTCTCTCCCTCTATTTTTCTTGGACATCGTTTGTTGGCTTTAAAAACTTTCCCAATCCTCTGGTTTATCATTACACTTTACCACATTGTATGTCTTTTTCTTTCCATTTGATTAACTTCCTTGGTTAACTATGATAGTTTATCCACTTCATAGAGTCCTTCTTCCTCACTGGGGACTAACTTTCATTTCTCATTTGAAAGATACTACTTGTGACACAGCAGCATTCCAATGCTTCCCCTCTGACTATGCAGTGCTCTCTCAATACCTTCTTTCCAAAAGTGCAAAGGCCCTTAGTACTGCTCATCCTAGAGATGATACAGCAATTTCAGAACTATGGTTTTGATAGTGCAACACTCCCTCAGTACTGCCCCTCCAACATTGCAGCACTCCTTCAGTATTGGCTCTCTGACAATGCAGCACTCCTTCAACAGTGCACTTTTCCCTCTGTTCTTTCCTCAGCACTGACTTTCCGCAACAGTACAGTACTCCCTCCATACCACCCCTCTCACGGTGCAGTGGACCCTTAGTACTGATCCTTTGAGGTTCAGTGTTCCCTTATTACTGACCCTCTGACAGTGTAGCATTCCCTCAGCGTTGACCCACTGACCCTTCAGTAGCTTACTGAAAGAAGATTGCCAATGTAAAAGACAGTTAGGCCTGCAGTGTAAGCAGAGGAAAAGGGAACTTTGACAACACTGTGTGGAATGGCTTAATCAAGATTTGAACTCTGAGAGAGAAGAAATGCTGTAAACATTGCCTAGGTTCAAACTAGTAAAATCATCCTGACATAACTTTGTTGTAAAGAAGGAAATCAGCAGAATTAGCTCAGGAGTATTGAGAATGCAACTAGAATAGCAGATGGCGTTTTCCACAGTCAAGTGGTATTAAACAAAGAACCTCTGAAAACAGGTGGAACTGAAGAAAATTAAAATAAATTCCAGAGGACGGTGGCATATATTTGGTGAGCTTACAGAGGTAAATAACAGTTTGATGGGCTTTAAAATGAAAAGGAGCAATTTAAAGTAAAATTGAATGCACAATAATCATAGATCCAACTTATTGTGTTAAAGCTGCTTGTTTTGTTTAATCCTTTTAAATACAATGAAGTTTGTGGTTTTGTTTTAAAACATGAAATCTTGTGGTGTCGTTCTGTTGTTTTTATTTACTCATTCATTGGATGTGCGCTTCGCTGGCTAGGCCAGCATTTACTGTCCATCCCTAATTGCCCAGAGTAAACCACATTACTGAGAGTCTGGAGACAGATGTAGGCTAGACCGGGTGAGGATGGTAGATTTCTCTCCCTAAAGGACATTACTGAACCAGATGGGTTTTTGTAATAATTGTCAGAGTTTACATGGTCACCATTAGATCTGGTCAGAAGCCACACAACACCAGGTTATAGTCCAGCAGGTTAATTTGAAATCACAAGCTGTCAGAGCACTGCTCCTTTGTCAGATGAAGTGCTTCACATGATGAAGCAGCAGCACTCCGAAAGCTTGTGATTTCAAATAAACCTGTTAGACTATAACTTGATGTTGTGTGATTTCTGATCTTGTCCACCCCAGTCCAACACCGGCATCTCCACATCATGGCTACCATCAGATCTGCTCTTCATTCCAGATTTGATTGAATTCAAACCCATTCTCCCAAAACATTTTTCTAGGGCTCTGGGTTGTTAGTCCAGTGATATAACAATTGAAGAGAAAACCACTGATAAACAATCTCTAACCAGATTTAACCAGTAACACTGTCTTTAGGTTGGCTTCAATAAACTCAACAGTTATTTCCCTATCCCTAACTCTAGCTGAGACTGTTAACTGTGTCGAAACCAAAGATCCAAGCTAGCCCTTTGTGGCCCAGACTTTGTCTTTTGCATGGCTGAATTTTCCAATCCAATTTCATGCTCAATATCTACAGAACACTAGTCCTCAACTTTGACCATGGTTCAGCCCTGTACCATGGTGCTTCTTTGTTTAAACTGAGACAATTTGCCTACAGTAAAAGATAAAACAATTTCTTTAAGATAATAGATAAGAGAATAGATAAGGTGGAGGCAGGGAGGTTGTTTCCGCTAGCAGGTGAAACTAGGACTAGAGGGCATCGCTTCAAAATAAAGGGAAGCAGATGTAGGATTGAGGTCAGGAGGAACTTCTTCACCCAAAGGGTTGTGAATCTGTGGAATTCTCTGCCCAGTGAAGCGGTTGAAGCTACCTCACTGAATGTTTTTAAGGCAAGGCTAGATAAATTTTTGAACAGTAAAGGAATTAAGGGTTATGGTGAGTGGGTGGGTAAGTGGAGCTGAGTCTCAAGAAGATCAGCCATGTTCTTATTAAATGGCGGGGCAGGCTCGAGGGGCTAGGTGGCCTACTCCTGCTCCTAGTTCTTATGTTCTTATAAATATACGAATAAATCCTATGTTGTATCAGTACCCCACAAGGTTTCCGAAAGCTCCAGTTGATTCTCTCAAAGGTCCAGAACTTCCATTATGCACAATGTAACTTTTGCATTTAATGCACAATAAATATATTCTTCCCATTTAAACTCTTTATAGACATCTAGATTTACAGTTCCAAGGAGACAGCAATATTTGATTGTCAATGAGAGTAATCAGCAGGGTACTGAGTTTGGAATCCAAATGTGACACTTGGATCAAATCCCAATCTGTGGGACAGAACGTGAAGTGACGTCCATCCTTTTCTATAATCTCATATGAACATTTTCCCTCTTTTTTTTCTGTACTGTGCATCAAGTTTGCATTGGTTAAGTTCACGAGGAAAACAGTCGGTTTTGCAGGCTCAATCATTTTCCTGTTACCAGAACTATGATCTGTTCTGCAACTTGCCTCTTCAGTGAGGGTTATGCGTCCAGAGATCCTGAATTATGTTCACCAGGGCTACTTCCGTCTGCGCATGCTGACTTCCATTCTTGCCAACTCTTCGTATGACTGATAGAATAGCTTGAATTCTCTGGATCCCCAGGCTCTCCACACATGCAGGTTCCAATCTCTGGTGTCATTCTGAAAGCAGCAGACCACTGTGTCCTTCGCCACAACAGCAGCGTCCACGAGTTTTCTGTGGGGTTGAGGAAGACAAACAGGATACTGTCAGTAATAAAGGCTTTTATCAGTTTCCAGCTAAATACAAAGCACTAATCTACAATGCTGGCAAACAAGTCTGTTCAGAAAACTGAGTACTCTTGAAATTCTAGAAAATGGACAAGTTGGCTTCAAGGTTAGCTCATTGACAGGAAGCAAAAGATAATGTAGCTCGGGTTGTGGGTGTTGAGGTTGGTTGGCTCGCCGAGCTGGTTTGTTGTGCCGCAGACGTTCCGTAGCAACGTCTAAGGAATCTTCATAAAAGGGTGTATCAGGAAAGCCAACATGTATGAAAAGCATAGCGGTATTACAGGTAGAGCATGTTCCCTCAGAACCCACAAGAGGGACGTGGCTCAAGACATTCAAGAAAATTCACCCACGATTACAGTTAAAAAGACCCAACCACAGCAGATTCTGAACATTTTATATCAAAGGGAGAGGTATTTCCTTGTTCTTCTAATCATGGAAGTAGCTGAATAAAGACACTGAAGCAAGTTACTCATTGATGCTGGCTGACACAATTTGTCTTCCAGAAGGTCTAAATGAAGGATAAAAATATTAATTGGAGGTATACATTGAAGTTATAAACTGGTCCCATTATATAGAGTTGGATGAAAGAGTGACTTTGACAGTGGAGAAGTTGTAGTTGGACTAATGCAACAAATCCTTACAGAAAGAATGGATATCATCTTGGGGAATGATCTGGCTGCTTCAAAAGTATTGACCTCACAAAGGGCATCGGAAGTTAACGAAATTGAGATTCTACAGGGGGAATGTCCTGGATTGATTCCAGACTATGTTGTAACTAGATCTCAAATTCACAGAATGAGATATGAAGAGGTGGAATCTACGCAAACCTGACAGGGTGCAAAAATTCAGTTATCTGACGGTATTTTCGAAAACTCAAGATGAAAGGAAGAGAATAAAGAGAATGAGGCTGACATGCTTCAACCATCTTCTTTGGTAGAAATGCGACAGAATGAATTTGAGTTGAGAGAGCTGTATCAAACAGCCCACTCTGAAATTGAATCAGAATCCGTAGCCAAGTGCAATTATTTAAAAAACAAAGTGTTACTGAAGTAATGGAGACTGCCTCAAATACCAGCCGAAGAGAAATGGGCTGCTGTAAATCAGATAGCAGTTCCATCTGGGATCGGTTAGCTCAGCTGGTTAGTTTGCAATGGAGAGAAAGACACTAACAGCACATATATAGCATGGGTTTGCTTTGGGTCCTTCTATTGATTTAACACTCAGTTACCTGTCTTCAGGTGCAGATTCTGGCTTTAGTACTGCCATGACCCTGCCTTGCTGGCAGATGGACTGGTTTTCCAGCTCAATAACAATGATATCACCACCTCGTCTGAAATTAAAAACAACAAAACAGCAATGAAAAGGAAGTTTAGAGCGACAGTGACAATGCACATAAAGATTGGGTGCAGCATACAACATGCACTGGAAGTATGTGCAGTATGCAGCCGGTCCAACATGCACTGGGAACACTGCACAACATGCAGTGGCTACACTGTGCACTGATAGCAGTGTATAACATGCAGTGGGAGTATGCGCAGTAATTGTTGGGTACAGTGTGCACTGGGAGTTTTTTGCAGTATATAGTAGGTGCAGCATGCATTGGGAGCAGTGTACAGCGGATGCAGTATATCAGGAGAACAGAGCAAAGTAGGAGCAGGGTGAAGTAAGACCAGCAGGCTGTGGGTGCCACATGCAGTGGTACAGTGGGTGGAGTATGCTATAACATATGTTATTCATTTTATTTGCAAAATGAAACTGTACCAAGAACTCTAAATATTAGATAGAACTGACAATAAGAACGACAGAAGTGCATTTCTATAGCATTGTTCAGCACTTCAAATTGTCCTACATCATTTTATAGTCAATGGAACAAGTTTGATCAATGTAGCAAAATCTGAAATAAAAACAAATTGCTGGAAGTGCCAGACCTACTGAGTTCCATTAGTGGAGACAGAAACAGAGTTAATGCTTCAAGCTTTTAGAATCTTTCCTAGTATATCATAGATAATCACCCTGAACCAATAAAACCAGTGACTTGATCACTGTTGGCATAGGCAAGTTTAAAAGCACTGGTAAAAAGGTTTGGCCTGGATTGCTGAATGTTACAACTGAATTTCACCAATTTAAATAGACAACCAAGCTCACCTTGGCAACGTCAAAACCAAAATGAAGAAAAGAAAGTAAACTGGAGGCACTGCCAAAAGGGCCACTCAGAATGAGGAGGCAAAAAGCAATCTCTTCACACAGGATTGTTGGAACATGGAATGCTTTCTCACAGAGCAGATTCAGGTAGAAATCACTGCATCCTCTTATGAAAAATTAGCAATGATTCAAGATGGGGAGCAATGGGGGTAAATTATAGCAACAGGATTAACTTAGAATAATAGAGGAATTTGGGAAGGGAGCAGGGCAGGTGGGGTTAACTTAGAATTGATAGATAGCTTTGGGAAGCAAGTGGGGAAGTATGTCGATTTTGGATGATTCAGGGTTAATGGGGAAAGAGTGGAGCAAAGGGATTAATTTTAGATTCATCTCTCCACCTCAATGAAGGCCAATGCTTCCCTATCATGGGACTCTCCCTTCACAGGAATCCAGTGTGAATACAATGGAACTTCATGGTATTTCCAGCTGATCTCTTCACTTCTTGGTCCTCCAATGGACCAGAAAAAAATCAGCCTTTAATAGCTATAAAGTGTCACTTCTCTTCAAACACAATGCTGAACTCCATGCAATCTTATTAAATTGCCTTTGAAATCTATAGGAGGCGTTATTAGGATAGAGGTATGTACAATTATGTAGGAGCTATCCTTTCGTTTACTCTTACCCCACCAACCTCCCTGTTTTCTGCATGTAAACTGACGTTTTCCCACCACCATCAGTTCTGAGGAAGGGTAACTAGACCCGAAACGTTAACTCTGTTTTTTTTTCACAGATGCTGCCAGACCTGCTGAGCTTTTCCAGCAACTTTATTTTTGCTCCTGATTTACAGCATCCGTAGTTCTTTCGGTTTTACAATTAAACAGGGCTTGATGAGGACAGTGTGTATTTGTTGCAATCTCCAACTGCCTTTTAACTGTGTAGCTTGCTAGTCCATTTCAGAGGGTAGTTAATTAACCCTCTCACCACTATGTATTCTTCACACAGCCTTGTATCAAACCCAAAATAATCCCACTTGTCCACTGAACACAGCCCTGTGTCAATCCCAAAGTAATCCCAATACCCCACTGTCTCTCCTCAGAGCTTCGTATCAATCCCAAGCTATTTCCACTGTCCCACTCTCTCCTCATAGCCTGGTATCAATCCCAAAATTTTCCAAATCCCCATTTTCATCCAGTAGTCCTGTATAAATCCTAAAGTAATTACACTGTCCCATTCACTCCTCAGAGCTTTGTGTCAAACTCAAACTATTCTCACTCTCTCCCCACTAACTCTGTATCATTTCATAATATTTATGGGGAAATGATGATGTAATGGTAAAGTCACAGGATCAATAATCTAGCATAAGGTTCAAACCCAACCGTGGCAGCTTGTAGCTTTTGAATTCAGTTAATAAAATCTAGAATTAAAGACTAGGCAATGACGTAGACCATGACCATGGGGCCACACAGTGGGTCAGTGGTTAGCACTGCTACCTCACAGCACCAGGGATCAGGGTTTGATTCCACCCTCAGGCGACTGTCTGTGTGGAGTTTGCATGTTCTCCCCGTGTCTGCATGGGTTTCCTCCTGGTGGTCCAGTTTCCTCCCACAGTCCAAAGATATGGTTAGGTGGATTGGCTGTGCTGAATTGGCCATTGTGTCCAGGGATGTGCAGGCTAGGTGGATTAACCATGGGAAAATGCAGGGTTACAAGGATAGGGTAGTGTCTGGGTGGGATGCTCTTCGGAGGGTTAGTGTGGACTAGATGGGCCGAATGGCCTGTTTCCACACTGTAGGGATTCTATGATTCGAACTGCAATGTTTGAAATTGAATATCAGGCAGCCAATCACTTCAGCACTATCTAAGATTAATTTCGATCCCACTGTTAGCAGGAAAATAAGTGCATGCCATCTGCCAGTAAGAGGGAAAGATTGTTTCCAGAAAAAATGATGACATTGGTCTAATATTTACGGAATGTACAGTCACACTGCCCCATGATCAAACACAGACTCATGTTGATAGGAGGCAAAATTCCAATATGGAGCAGAGTGGAAGACTGATTGCTGTATCAATGTGACATGTCAAAGCTGTCAGTACCAGATACTTTGTTTTGGAGCAGCACCAACAAGATCATCCAAGTAACAGCTACGCTTAGGAACTGCCTGGAGCTAATAATAGCCTGATATTAGCTGATATGTTTCTATCAGGCTCTCAGTGAGGGAAGGTGTTGTAAAGTGCTTTAATTGGGCTGACATTTCAGACTTGTGATGATTCCTGCCACCTTATCTTGATCATTGAACAAGATGTAGACAGCTCCGACAAGGGAAGTGAAAATGATGAATGCACTTGGCGAGTCAGCTCTCAAAACTGTCTCTGCACCAATGAGTGGGTTGTGTGTCTGGATCCAGGGTGCAGTTCTCCAAGAGTGAGAACACCAACTTCAACAGTTTTGTCTGTATTCATGTACAAGGAGCTATTGGCTTTCACAGATCACTTTCAAAAGTGAACCGAATAGGATTGACCCTGATGGGTTGAATACCTTCCCTCTGTTAGGGATTACCATATGATTCTATTGTTAACATTTCTATTAGAAACAAGTAGAAATAAAACAATTTTTTTTGATTCATTCATAGGATGAGGGCATTGCTTGCTAGACCACCATTTATTGTCCATCCCTAATTGCCCAGAAGGCAGTTGAAAGTAAACCACATTGCTGTGGGTCTGGAGTCACATGCAGGCCAGACCAGATAAGGATGGCAGATTCTTTCCCTAAAAAGACAACAGTGAAGCAGATGGGTTTTTAACAACAATTGACAATGGATTCATGATCAGCATGAGATTCTTAATTTCAGATTTTTATTGAATTCATATCTCACCAGCTGCCATAGTGGGATTCGAACCTGGTTCCCCATGAACATTAACTTGATTTGATTTATTGTCACATGTAATGAGATACCGTGAAAAGTATTGTTTTGCATGCTAATCAGATAAATCATTCCTTACGTAAGTACAACAGGGTAATAGAACAGAATGTAGAATGTAGTATTACAGCTACAGAGAAGGTACAGAGAAAGGTCAACTGTAACAAATGAAAAATCTGTTCATCAATACGATAACAGCAGGGAAGAAGCTATTCTTAAATCTGTTGGCAGGTGTTTTCAAACTTTTGTATCTTCTGACCAATGGAAGTGGGTAGAAAGATGGTTATTGCAATGAACTTGACTGCATTCACAATTCTAATTTCTTGTTGTCTTGGGCATAGCAGTTGTCATACCAAGCTGTGATGCATCTGTAAGAATCATTGTGGATGTGCCAAATTTCCTTAGCCTTCCGAGAAAGTAGAGGCATTGGTGTGCTTTCTTGACTGTAGGGTCAACATGAATGGACCAGGATAGATCATTGGTGACATTTATTCCTAGGGAACTTGAAGCTCTCAATCACCTCCACCTCAGTACTGAGGGTGAGATTGTTGTCTTTACACCATGCAACTAAGCTGTCTATTTCTTGCCAGCACTCTTTCCTTGGTCTCTGGATTAACAGTTCAGCGTAAAGTAAAGTAATGCAGAAATGCTCAAGAAAAATACAGTTTATGAAAATTTAGGCTCTTCATTGGGGAAGAGAATCTGTGAGATTGGCTTCTGCAGGCATACCACGCCTAATGTGATGTGAGGCTGTGACTACATTGACTATAAGAGCAGATGTTCCTGATTGTAAGTCTTATTGTGGTTGAAAAATTGGTTCCATTCTTTAAGGATTGACTCCAGGTGTTGGGGACTGGCAATATTTGCCTGTCTCTGCCCATAGTTCTGTTGGCTGATGTTGCAAGTTGAGTTTAGGAACCATCTGATGATCTAATTAATAGGAGTGAAGATCAAGAACAAAATCAAAAGCAAAAAAAAAGTCATGCATTTAAGTTAGAAAAGTGCCCTGAGTTGTTTCACACAGACAAAAGTAAATAGAGAAATGATCAAAAGTCCAAGGCACAATCAGCTGAGAATGGCAGAAGCATACAAGAGGCCAGAGTGAGCAGAACAGAAAGCAACAACAGCAATAACTTATATTATCAATTTGGATGTACAGCTAATCCACTGGGGATGGGTGGCTTCATAGGCTGCAATTTTACTGATGATTGAGGAGGCCAGTCTCCGAGAAGCACATATGTTGCATACCCAACTTCTATTGTGGGTTGCT